CTGGATTCAAACCCGCCAGCTCCAGTGTATGTGGCTGGTGCCCTAGCGGCTGAGCTGTAGGCGCCAAGCCAATACTTTCTTTTTCATTTTTTTTTTTTTTTTAAGTTTTAAAGAGTGGGCTTGGAGGACCTTCACCATCTAGAGTGAGAACAAGGTGAAGGCCCCTAACTTAATGTCCACTCAGCCTTTATTTCGATGTTTTCAAGCCAAGCCAATACTTTCAAATTTAATAAGACTTGTTTTTTTTTTTTTTTTTGCTTAGTTTATGGTCTATCCTAGATACTGTTCCATGTTCACTTGAAAAGAATGTGTATTCGCCTATTATGTAGAGTGTTGTATAGAATTATGTTAGATCTAGGAGGTTTATAGTGCTATTCAGGTCTTCTGTATCCTAGTTGATTTTGGTATATTGTTCTATTATTGAAAGTGGAGTATTAAAGTCTTCAACTATTATTGTTAAATTGTCCCCTGAATTTCTGGCAGTTTTTGCTTAATATATTTTGATACTCTTTCGTTAGGTACTTATATGATTTTAATTATCATATTTTTTGTAAGTTTGGGTTTTAAGGGGAACTTGGGGTTTTTTTTGAAACATTCACTTGTTGCTCTTGATAGAGTGCCCTGACATCACAGCTCACAGCAACCTCAGACTCTTGGACTCAAGTGATTCTCTTGTCTCAACCTCCCAAATAGCTGGGACTGACTACCACTTGAGATAAGTCTGACTTGTGGGCCCATAAGAATGCCTGGCTATTTTTTAGAAACAAGGTATCGCTCTTGCTTAGGCTGTCTTTGTAAGTTATAAAAGGTCCTTCTTTGTCTCTAGTAATAATTTTTATCCTTAAGTCTATTTTCTCTGATATTGCTATAAACACGTAAATTCTCCTTTGAATACCATCCACATGGTGTATCTTTTCCATCATCTTTTTTTGGGGGGGATTGGGGGACAGTCTCACTTTGTCACCCCAATAGAGTGACCTGGCATCATCTTCTTACTTTTAACCTATTTATTTCTTTAAAGTGTACCACTTTTAGAAAGCATACTTTCTTATTTCTTTGCATTCCTCATAATTTTTTTTTTGAAAACATAGCATATTAAGTAATATGGAAACCGTATTCTTCCCCATCCCTGCCTCAGTGCTTATTATTTGTAGTTGTTGTTTTCTGAACTCATTCTGCATGGTCTGTATTCTTTGTCTTGTGCCACCACCAAGGTATTTATGATTAGACTGAGACTAAATACCTAGAACCAGTAAGCCAGAGTGAGACCCCATCTCTACAAAAAAAAAAGACAGCCAGATGTGATCCCAGCTACATGGGGGGCAAGAGAATCACTACAGGAGGAAGAAGTAAAAAATAAATAAATAAATAACAACTTCGAACTAAGATAAAGTGAAAGCCACCAGAATTGAAATCAAAAATTAAAAAAAAGAGAGAGAGAATTTTTGAAGATCTTTACTCTGAGATTTTTTTCTAATGTCCCCTCATTAACTACCACTTGACATAAGTCTGACTTAGAATGACTCAGTTAATTTTTTGTTTATAAACACTTACCTATTATATTATTCTAAATTATATCACAGGTTTTTATTTAAAATATGTACAAGTGGCTCAAGAGGCTAAGGCGCTGAGCTAGCAGGTTCGAATCCAGACTGGGCCCACCAAAACAACAATGACAGCTGTAACCAAAAAATAGGCAGGTGTTATGGTGGGCACCTATAGTCCCAGCTACCTGGGAGGCAGAGGCAGGAGAATCACTTGAGCCCAGGAGTTGGAGGTTCCTGTGAGTTGTGATGCCACAGCACTCTACCCAGGGTGGTAGCTTAAGGCTCTGTCTAAAATATATATATATATATATATACACACACATATATATATATAAGCGAGACTGGATACAGTAACTCATGCCTATAATCCTAGCACTTGGGAGGCCAAGGCAGGTGGATTGCCTGAGCTCATAGGTAGAAGACCAGCCTGACCCAGACGGAGACCTCATCTCTAAAAATAGCTATTTGCTGTGACAGGCGCCTGTAATCCCAGCTACTCTGGAGACGGAGGCAAGAGAATCACTTGAGCCCAAGAGTTGGAGGTTCCTGTGCGCTATGACCCCATAGCACTCTACCAAGGGCAACAAAGTGAGACTCTTGTCTCAAAAAAAAATAAGAGAATCACTTGAGCCCAAGAGTTTGAGGCTGCCGTGAGCTATGACACCAACGCCACTGCATTCTACTGAAGGAGACTCTGTCTCAAAAATAAAATAAAATGAAATGAAATAAAATTTTAAAAAAATAAAATAAAATATACAAGCTGACCATGGCAGCTTATAGTCTCAGTTACTCAGGAGACTGGGGCAAGAGGATTACTTAAGGCCAGGAGTTTGAGACTATAAGTGAGCTATAATTACCTACTGCACTCTGGCCCGGGTGACAGAGCAAGAACCTGTTTCAAAAATAAATAAAATATGTACAGATATTTTCCTGTCAGTATTCTCTCCTACATAGTTTATATGTTTTTCCTCTTTATTTCGTCAGTGATATTTACTGTGCACACTGGAGAATGCAGATAGAACACATCTGGCAGTTGTCTTTTTTTTTCTCTTCCCTTGATCAAAGTATTTCCAAATTGCAGTAATTTTTTTTCTTTTTTTTTTTTTTTT